CCCGCGCGGTCGTGCCGCCCCCGTTTTCGCCTGCCACCTCTTTTTCGGACTGGCCGCCCAGGGACCCCCCCCCCCCCGCCGCCCGCCCGGGTCTCCAACACATTTCTTTTCTCAATATTTTTTGACGCCCTTCCAAAGTGAAGCCTTCGCCAGCCAAGCTTGGCACCGGCAGGAAACAGTTGGTCCCAAACCAGAAACAGAAAGGGGCTTTTCTAAAAATGGAACGCCTCGTTCGAGGCGCAAAGATAATTCTGGGGTTGGTGCCCTGGAAGGTGGGAACAGGAGGCCTGTGCTGTCCCCTTCGGACGCTGGCCAGACGGGGAAAGCTGGTCTTGCAGCCCGCCGGGGAGAAGCCAGGAAGGATCGCCCGTCAAGCTTTCCCCAGCGCCCCCCCAATGTCTGGGACTTCCACCCCATCGGGCTGGCTGTAGATGATGGGAGCTATAGTCCCAAGATTCTGGAATATCTGGGTTGGCAGGCTGGCTGTTGTATCAGGCGGGAGGTGTATCTGCAGTGGGGTAGATCCTGAGCAGGTAGTTCCTGGGCGAAAGAATTCCCAGTTCTGGAGCCACTGCCGAGAAGGCCCCGGTGCTGAAGACCAGCCTCACGTACGATCCTTCCTTTTCCTGCAATCCTCGGTGTCCGCAATGCAATCCTCCTCTCTCTTCCAGGGAGGGAGCATGTTCGACTCCTAGGCTCCCACCGCCCCAGGTCCGCTCTGCCCCCGGAAAGGATGGTCCTGACCTCCCCTCTGCCTGCTTTGTTTCTCCTCCTGACATCCGCAGCTTCCTTCCCGAAAGACTTGGCTCCGCTTCACGTGGTCGGCGAGGCAGGTGAGGACAAGCAACTCCTCGGGGCAGGTGTGCAAACCTTAGGCAAGCCTTGGGGGTCTCTTCCGAATAGCCCCCCTCCCCTTCCTCTTCTCTGCACCTTGGAAAAACATCTGCATGAGAAGAGCGACAGGCCTTGCTCCCCTTCCTCCCCCACCTCGACTGGAAATCCAAGACCTGCCCCGTTCGCACGGCGACCCTTTCCTGCTCTCTGAGAGGACCCTGATCACGTTTTCTCCCCCATCAGGGACAGCCGAGTACCCCTCTTTCCATGGCGTGTGGGGAGAGAATGGCTCCCCTCCTTTGGGCTTGGATTTCCAAAGCATGTTGCAAATCAACCAGACCCTCTTCATCGCTGCCCGGTAAGCGGGGCGGGGGGGGTCCCTTTGAGGGGCTTGCCACGAAATCAGAACGATCCTTCTTCCCTGGAGAGCTCCCGTTGCAAATAACCCTCTGTTAGCAATTTGGGAGGATTGTAGCGTGCCGGGGGACCGCCGGGCAGGGCTCTGTGCTCCGTTTTCCAGGCCGAGATGCGAGGGACGTGCGTCATGCGCGCCGGGGGGAAAAAAAAGAGAGGAAAGTTTTCTTTGCAAAGAACAACTCCTTTATTCGAGGAGGTCAGGCTAGCAAAGCGCGTGGACGTTGTCTCCCAGTTTCGGGGGCAGGACGCAACGGCGAAAGGTGGATGTGTTTGGGGGGAGTCAAGAAGGACGTGCACGATGGGAAGACGGAGGAGGAAGAAGAAGTCCCTTGCTGGCACCTTCCGAGCAGGGAGGCACGGAAGGGTTTTGTGGCTGAATAAAGGAAATTAGCATCCAGAGCCGTGGGCTTTCCCACGAGTGGCCCTTCCTTCTCCTCTCCCAGGAGACCTGGTGCAGAGATGAAAACTTGGGGGCTCCTCCGGGTTCAGTCGCTGAAAGCAAAACTGTTTTCCCCCTCTGGTGACTTTTAAATTTAATCCAGGAATTGTTTCTTGATTTTCTCTTCCCTGCCTCCTCCCCTCCTGCCCCTTTCTGATATTAGGGACCACGTCTACGCTTTTGACCTTGGACAGACGAAAGACGGTTTCACGCCCAAGAGGGTGAGGTGGACTTCCTTGCTGTTTATCAAATCTATTTTTTTCCCCCCATTTTAGCCTCCAGCGGGTAAATTGGGCTCAAAATCCACAGGAAAAATGGGCCCGCAGGTTGGAGAGGTGTTTTTCCTATCCTGCCCAGGTTTGAGCACTGTTTTTCCTTCTGCGTGACCCAGTGTAAGGTTTTCAGATTTTCTTGTTCCTGACGGACCCATATTCTTCGGTCTATTTTTTTTTCCCCTGGCATTTACTTTTCCCCACACGTTTTCATGGCAGAGCTAAGTCGGAGGAGCCTCAAATGGAGAAAGCTACCTGGGTATGGATGGCCGAGCTCTGCCTCTTCGGCTCTTGCAGGACTACAAGCACCATCCTCCCCTCCGGCCCCTTTGGTTGCAAACATGCAATCCATCATAGTCGGGGAGTGTCAGGTTGAAGCCAGCTAATTTAAACCTAGTTTGGCTTGTCCTGGAAGGTGGCTGATGGTGGGTTTCGGGGGATTCCAAATGCCAGCAGAGGTCAAGACTTGGGCCGTGCAGCCAGACTGTGAAATGCCCTGATTTAGGGCTGCCAATGTGCTGCCAGGATCCCTTCCATGGGCAATGTCCTTGGCATGAAATCTCTTCCCCCAACGGGTCCCCGTTGCATGCGTGGGCACCCGCAGTCTGAACCCGTGTCTTTGCCTGGCTCTGACGCATCGGCCTCCCGTTCACAGCATCTCACCTGGAGGACGCAGGATGTGGAAAACTGTGCCGTGCGCGGGAAGCTTCGGGTAAGAGCGGCCAGTTGGGCTGTCCTCGCCTCTGCCCCCTCGCCCACGCCCGGGCATCGGGACTGACCTTTCTGTCCCAACTGCAGGACGAATGTTACAACTACATCAAAGTCTTGGTGCCCAAGGATGACCAAACGCTCTTGGCCTGTGGCACCAACGCCTTCCACCCGGTGTGCCGGACATACAAGGTAGAGGCGAGCGAGGCTCTTTGGGGACCCGCCATCCACCCCCTTGGCTGCCCTGGCAATGCCGGGGGGACTTTTGGTCTCCCCCAAGACTCCGGGGTCCTTTCTGGCTGTAGAGGCGGGGCTTCTCTCCTGGCGGAGGGGCTTTGATTGACCTTGACCCCCCCTCCCCTTGGCCACCAGATCAGCAACTTTCAGGAGGAAGGAGAGGAGCTGAACGGGCAGGCGCGGTGCCCCTTCGATGCCAAGCAGACCAACGTTGCCATCTTCGCGGGTAGGTCCTGTGCCGCGGGGAGAAAAACCACTTTTGCGTCTGCTGAAAGTCGTCCTAAACTCTGGACTAGGGCAGGGCTGTTTCCATGGCTTTGAATCCAGAGATGGGCAGCCGTAGAAATCATTTCCATAAAGAAAGAATTAGGGGAAGATCAACGGACATGGTGTCTGCAGGGTTCAGGATTCAGGGGCAGAGAATTGAGAAACAATTCATGGAACTGGAAAAAAAGCTGGTAAAACGTGGGCAGGACCGGGTGAAGGATTTGGAAGAGGGGTGGCCTGCAGGGGGAATCCCCTGCTTTGCTAATTGTTCCTGCCTCAGTTTCCCTGCGGAGCAGAAAGCTGGTCCTGGATCTTGTGGCACCAGGACCCGGGCAATCCTACGGGTTTTCTCCTCTTCTTGCCCCCTTTCCAGAAGGCAATCTTTATTCTGCCACCGTGGCCGACTTCCAAGCCAGCGACGCGGTTATTTATCGAAGTTTGGGGGAGCGGAGCCCAGTGCTGCGGACGGTCAAATACGATTCCAAGTGGTTACGGGGTGAGGAAGCCTCCACCCGCTCTGGCTTTTTGCCCATGCTCAGGGACCCTCGGGTCTCCCCCTTCCAAAAACGCCCGTCCCCGTCCCAAACGCGGTCGTGTTTTTCAGTGCTGTTTTCCACCCCCAGAACCTCATTTCATTCACGCTCTGGAATACAAGGAGTACGTCTACTTCTTCTTCCGCGAGATCTCCATGGAATATACCACGCTGGGACGGGTGAGTGCCCCTGTTGCCACCCTTGAAGAAGCCCTGTAGAAGAGCCACTGGGTAGAGACCGTGGGCATCCCCCCTTTCCCCCTATTTTTTTTCAATCCATGGAAAGACAGCAGGTAAATTGGATTAAAGTCAGTTGTGCAAATGCGCTCGAGGGAGTATCGGATGGTGCAACCGTAGACGTAATCCTGACTCTCAAGAAAGGTTCCCCTGCTTCTGTTTGCGGTGTTCAGAGAGGCTGCCTCCGTTTGTGGAGGCTCCACCTGGCCTGGGCGTCTTAACCGCCACGGATTGCCCTCTCCGTGCCTTCTTTTCACTGGGACTCAGAGCATACTGCTCCTGTACATGGAGGTTTTGTTTGGCCCGTCTTCTGCTTTGGCGGTTATGTGTGAAATTGCAGAGCGTCTGCCAGAATCGCTAGTATTTTAATGCCCCGTATTTTCCTCTCTTCCTCTGAACATCGCAGGTGATCTTTTCCCGCGTGGGAAGGGTCTGCAAGAACGACATGGGGGGGTCCCCTCGGGTGCTGGAGAAGTACTGGACGTCCTTCTTGAAAGCCCGGCTCAACTGCTCGGTCCCTGGAGATGCCTTTTTCTACTTCGACGTCCTCCAGGCCGTCACCGACGTCACCCAGGTGAACGGCCGGCCAGCCATCTTTGGGGTCTTCGCCACCCAGTCCAACAGGTAACCAACTGGTCAAAGGTCCAGCCTTCCCAAACCCTGACGAATCTGAGCTGCCCACTGCCATGCTGGGCGGGACCTGAGCTGCGGGTCCCGCAAAGGGTTATTTCAGAGGCTGGGTGGCAAAGGGCATCGTTGGCGTTCTGGGGGTGTTTCTGTGGCTCCCTTACCATTCGGGCCGCTTTGGGTTTGACCCAGCATCACCGGCTCAGCGGTCTGCGCCTTTTACATGGACGAAGTGGAGCGGGTATTCAGCGGGAGATTCAAAGAGCAGAAAAACGTGGAGGCCGGCTGGACCCCCATCTCCGAGGACAAAGTCCCCAAACCCAGGTATTAAAAACAACTTTTCCCCAGGCCTGTTTCAACCAAACTGCACTTTCCCTTCCCTACCCTGTGTTTACGGGTTGTATTTCGGAACAAACCCTCGAATCAAGTTTCTAGCCCCTAAGATCACAAAGAGACGTTTAAACCTCTGAGTGTCTGGCCCTGGTGGCTTGGCACAAGATGCTCAGAAGCCTGTAGGCCAGCTTTGCAAAAAATAAAATAAAAAAGGCAAAACAGATTTGGAAGAGGGGTGTAATCCAAAGTGAAAATGTCCTGTGGGGTTTGTTTCATCCTCCTTGGACTCATGCGAATAGGGTAGCTGATGCTGCAGAATAAACCAAGGATCGTCAGCCCCGTCTTTTCCATCCGGTGTATTGATAGCCAGAACAAAGCTTCTAGTCCTCAGCGTCTCGAGGCTATGTTCCAAAGCCCACGGGCAGGAAAGCTGCCTCTGAAGGGAGCCTCAGGCAGCCCCTGTTTGCCAGGTCGCACCCTCTCTTTCCCGCCCCCAACATTACCTTTGGGGTCCACCTGCAGACCTGGCTGCTGCGCTGGAGTTGGCAAAGCCGCAGGTTACCGGACCTCCAACGATTTTCCCGATGCCGTGCTGAGCTTCATCAAATCCTACCCCCTCCTGGATGAAGCTGTGCCCTCCGTTGCGGAGCACCCTTGGTTCACCAAGACCTCCAGCAGGTAGAAGCGGGTCTCTTTCACAAGTATTATTATTATTATTATTATTATTATTATTATTATTATTATTATTAAAAGCCAGCTGTGCGGAAGATTTGCAAGCAGCTTCAGCTCCGTTTGGGGCGTGGGACAACCGGGGCTGGGGGGAAACCGAGGTGGCTGAGATGGCCTTGAAAACCACCCCCTGACCCTGCTCTGCTGTGCTTTCCCCCTGGAGATGAGGTCAAATTTTGGAGGGCAGGGAGGGCGAGTCGCCCCTTTAGGGGCAGGGCTGACGATTAGAATTATGGGAGGTGGAGCGATCGCCATTTATGTCCATCCACTTCGCCTGCCCTTTTCCAACCCCTCTGCCTTTCCATCTTGGGGCACCGGCAGTCCTCGATCAACATGAGAGTCCGGATTTGCAGCGGGCTGCTCTGGGGGCGAGCCTCGCGTGCCAAGGGCTTCACCTTGTCTCTGCCCACGTAGATACAGGCTGACCCGCCTGGTCGTGGACGCCTCGGCGGGCCCCTTCCGAAACGGCACCGTCCTGTTCCTGGGCTCGGAAGACGGCACGGTGCTGAAGGTCCTTTCCTGCCCCACCGAGAACCACACGGTGGAGACCCTGCTCTTGGAAGAGGTCTCCGTCTACCAGCCCTCCCGGTGAGTCCCCTTGGGGGGCAGCGAGTGCCAAGGGAGAAGTGGGCATCAGAGGGCTGGGTCCCCTCGTCTCAGCCTGATAAAATCAGACCTCCCGATTGGCCGTTAAAAAACGGTAAATAGAAATCCGGGCGGAACGTCGGTCTCCACCGCCTGCCAGTTCTGCACCCGTCGGTGAAAATCCTGCTTGTTTTCAGCCCTACTTTTTAAAATTCATCTCTCTTCACACGCCGTTTCCTGCAGCAGCGGTGCCAAGTCGCCATCTTCCCCGACACATTTCTTTTTCTCGGGTGCTGCCCGATATCTATACCCGCCTTTTTCTTTCCCGGGAGCCGAGCGTGCGGAGGCGGGCTGGGGGGCCTGGGCTCCGACCCACCACTTTGCCCGAAGGGCAGATAGAGCTGGGTCTCCCCGAAGGTGGCTCAGCCCCAGCCCTTCCTCCAAGATGTCAAAAGAAGAAGGGGAAAAAAACCCCACTCGGTGTTAGAAGTGTGGTGGCAATACGCTGAAGGGCAGCAGAAAACGTTAAATTGGATTCCCGCCCGACGGTTGAGAAAGAGGGCCCCGTGTTGCTCTTCTGGGCAGGGAGGCCGCCGGAAGAGGAGTCGGTGAGGTGCAAAAAAGGCACATTTGCTCTTGGTGTTAGTGGCCCTGCCCTGTGGTCTTCGGACCGACGGTTCCTGCAAATGATTTAAAAGACGCACGCAAGCAGCCAGCCCTGTTGGCCCCAAAGCTTGGGGAGGTGGAGGGAGAAGGACGTTTCCGTCCAAATCTGTTCTCATTCCGCTTCTGAGTTGCTTAAGAAGAGTTCTGCCTGGAATTAGTTCTCCCCACTTTGGAACAGCTCCCCTCGCTTCTCCCCACAGTCGGCCCCCTTCCTCCCACGCCGGAGTGCAATTTGCATTACCCCCCCTCCCCGCTTTTCAGCCGGCAGCGTTAACATCATTTGCAGGTGCTCTCCTTGGTGTGAAATGACAGCTTCGCTCCCCATATGCTTCCTGGATGGGCAGGGGCTTTTTCCCTTAAAATCTGCAGTTGCCATTCCCGGAGGGAGCCCGGGCCCGATCCCCCAATCTGCACCGTCCTTGCTCGGTTCCAGGTCAAGAATCAGGAGAATGTCCTTTCCGACCCTTGGTGCTGGGGGAAAAAAAAGACTTTGTCCGCCTCTCGCTTGCAAACTTTCCAAAAGCGGTCAGGGCTGCCTTTTTCCGAAGCCGTTCTTCCCCCGAAGGCCAGTGAAGATGCAGCTAAGCAGTTAACAGCAGGATCATCTAAACCATCTGGGCCGATCCGGAGAAGCCGGAGAGCGGCCACGGGAATTCCCAAGACGTGAGGCTCAGCCCGGCTGCGAACTTGGAAAAAGGACAACTGCAAATTTCTGCACGGCTCCCAAGAAAACGGCGAGGACACGTGGATGGAGACCGTCGGAGCCAGCTTGGCTCGGCAGAAGAGTTGGCAGAACGTTTTGCTCGTATCAGACTGAACGTGATATAACTTATCCTTCGTAACTGTTCGCTTATTCCAGCCACAGGCGGTTACGCTGCTGTTCTCAGAGCTCTTCTCCTTGCAGTGTTGTTATCAATGGTGTCATTTGGGGCTTGGTTTCCATGTACTCTTCGTATAAAATATAGACGGCCTGGTATATTTCCGATGGAGCCCCTGCCATAAAGCGTTACCTTTTTTGGCTTTCCTAACGACGGTGCCCCCAAATCTCTGTCTCTTGTTAGGAGTGGAAAAGGAGCTGAAAGTTGTCCGCTGGCGCAATTGGGGCGAAATGAGGGAAACATTCATTTAACTGGCAAAAGCGTCTCCACCTTGTTATTTAAAAAAACCCCAACCTTTGCTAGGATGTCTTTTTATGTGTTTTTTTCAGATATTTCACGCAATCCACACACTGCTGTGTGGGAATACAGCTCGTTCGTACCCGCGGGGTCAGATTTACACTGAAGCTGTCGCCAGTCATAGACAGACGGACAGACAGACAGATGATAAATAATGATAGACAGATGATGGATGGATGGATGGATGGATGGATGGATGGATATTGATAGATGATTGATAGATAAATAGAGGTATCACAGAGATGATTGATAGATAGATAGATAGATAGATAGATAGATAGATAGATAGATGATTGATAGATGATTGATAGATGATAGATAAATAGAGGTATCTGATAGACGATAGATAGATAGATAGATAGATAGATAGATAGATAGATGATTGATAGATGATTGA